TCTGTCGCTTTGAATTTTGATGGAGGGACGAACCCGGTGCACAGAATCGACAAGTGTACTGCCAGTTACTTATCTTCGATCGGCCCATTTAACTCGTCAACTTGTTATATCGGAGGGTTCAACGGAGTAAACACCGTAGTCCAAGACAAAAGACAAGTCTATTTTTTAATTTAATTTATCTATTATTCATCCTAGTTCAGAATTTAACCCCATTTTGTGCATTCTTTAATGACCTCAAAGTGTCATGTTATATATTTGTCTCGAGCTAAGAGACCAAACTGCGGTAAAGAACGCGTAGGTTGACATGAGAATATGATGGTATTCTTATTCAGACCCCTACAGTAAGACCTCTACTATAGCAATTGGTAAACAGGATGGGGGCAAAAAGCCGCCTTGAGGGGCACCGGCTTGTTTTGGGTCTAGTTACGTTTATATCTTCGTGTTCCTTACTTTGAAGTAGATAGTAAGAAAGAAGAGGTTAGATGCACTAGAATACGACCTAAGTAGTATTTTTTGAAATTCAGTTTTCTAAGGAAGAAGAAAAGGTGTTAACAGCCTTAAAACCGTATAGATCGTTTTTTTTACAGGCCTACAAATAAATCTGCGTAGATGTGTAAATCTTCTGCTCTTATGTTGTAAATCTTGTGTGGGGACTCCAGAACAGCCTGCTTTCTAGTATCAAATGCCGAAATGTTTGTGCTGGCAGGTTTTAGTTTTGGATGTGCATTGCAAGTCTATGATTTTAATGTAAGTGAACACTGTGTACATTCTTTACCTTCAGCTTGAGTAATCTTTGATGGAGGCAGGATGGCGGAGGAAATGGTGCAAAAAAAACTGAAACTTTACCGGATCGTGATCGAGAAGAAATGATGTTATGATATATTGGAAAGGGTCAATACTAAAATAATGAACCGAGGTGTCGGAGTTCTAGCGGTTCTGGGTTCGAATCCCAGGAAGGCAATAGAATTTTAATTGTTAACATTAAAAAATGCCGAGTTTTATAGGTTTTTCAAAAAGAAAATGTTGATACTTTATCAGACTTAGGTACTTCGACCTCTGACATCGAGGTCAGTCCTAAGTATATAAATGGGAATGTCGGAAACTCGATTTTGATGTGCAGAGAACAATCCTGTTTTGCAATGTAAGTGAACATCGAGTGCATTTTACTCGTTGTTTTATACACCATTCTTTCAGATTCCAAGATAGATGGTGACAACAACTCTGAAAACTTGCTGAATCGTGGAATGACTGGGAGTATAGAAAGAATGAGTCAATACGGAAAAATATATAGGTTTAAAAAAGTCGATACTCTACTAGACCAAAGTTACGTACTGGGATTACTAATAGTAGCATAGTCTTGTATGCTATGGTTGGATTTGTGCATATTGTTGAAGGTTGTGTCGGTATTATTAATCACGAAAACTGATTGTTGTATAAAATTGGTTTCATTTCAAGGTCGCTGATTTTGTTTGCGATTTGACTGGAATAATCCTTTGAGTCTATGACTCACCAGCACCGCAGCAGTATCGGCACCGTCGGGACATTACTCTCTAGAATGTCAGCAGGTGCCGGCACAGACCGTTTGCTGAACGTGCTAGCGATTCATGCTATGTTGCACGGACTGATGATACGTTCTGGTAATGACGCGATTCTTGAAAGTGAAGTGGTGAATAATCGGTATTGTTGATGATGATAGCGATGGTAGTGGAGGTGATATCTTTATGGTCTTGCATGATATTGCTCGTTTTGAACAGGCGAAGAACGATTGTTCCTTAACTAATTCGATTAATTTCAAGGCCATTGCTGATGGATAATACAGACGATTTCGCTGGATTATATTTTTGATTAGATGACTCATCCGCACAGAATTCTGAGGATTACAGTTGTTACCTGTACGTCCCTATGTAGGTGTCGGTTATGTGTTTACACACACGATAAATGTCACCAGTGAAATTTTTTTCTTCGCCGCACCGGTTCAAGTCTTCCCAGTCTGTTTTCTGAATGAAAAAGTCCTACAGAAAGTGCGATTCTCATTAAGCTTTTGTTCCCGTGTCGAGATAATTTACTCAATTACCCGGACTTTGGAAACTTTTCCTTTCGTCGACTTAATCGCAGTCGATTCTCGTTTTCAGCTCACGGTGGGGAAAAAGGAAAAAAAAAGCGATCTACCTATATTTAGCACACTGTTTTCACACTTCCGACAGGTTAATCGGCCGGCTGCCTCCGAGTCCGCTCCTTCCGGCCCAATGAACCCTGACGGCTAGTATGTAACTCCGAAGATGCTAAAATTAAAATCTTTTGAGAAAATTTGCTAATACGTTAATAACTTGGGGCCATGAGGGGCAGAAGGTGAAAAACCTGTCGGGGACAATACTGTGTGTAATATTCTACATAGGCTTGGAAAAAGAACATTTTCGGACCACTTCACTTTCAAACATAAGTGCGATAGACATTAAAGATACATAAAAGCAATCCATAATCCAATTTTTTACAATCAATGACCAGTTACGAATGAGCAAACACGAATTGTGAATGTTCTCAATGAATTTGAGAAAAGTAAATTATTTGTATATGTACCTAACACCTTCCTGTAGATCGCTTTGTAATTGTAATAGTACAAAAAAAATTAGTTAAAAATGTACAATGCCAACGTTGTCGTAAGTAGAACTTAAAAACTTAATTCGTATTGTCCGATTTAAAATGACTTAAGTAATTAGTATTGTTTATATTTATGATCTGGAAACTAGGAATGTGCACAATTTCAATTGGTAATTTTGCACTGGAGTGTAAACAGAACGTGAAAATTCACAGTACGCCTCTGTATAATTTCACACCGAGAAAACACTTCCTAACTATAGCACTATTATAGAGTAGGCTCGATACACTGTATATCCGAGCTGGAAATACCTGAAGCGGTGGACGGTCTCCGATTAGAAAACAACAAGAAAATAACAGAAGAAGACGGACAAATAGGAACAACAACTGCGAAGTTGGATTTACAACTAAAACACTGAGAGCCACATGCTCCGTTGGTCGGGGGGGCTCGCGCGGCTTCGTCCAACCTCGGTCAAACTTCGACCCGGTGGGTGGCAGAGAGTTGAGAACGTTCAACCCTTTTCAACCCCGTTTCATTAGTACCGCGGCCGACACGGATAATTGGATAATATTCGGCCAAATACGACAACTTTGTTGTTTCCCATAAAAATAAATCTGTAAACCTGTGTAGAGAGAGAAAAAACAATAAGTTTTAACCAAGTCCATCAAGGTGAAGTTTGAAGTACTTTCGACAGTCAATATAGAAATAAAACTGTTTTTACTACTTTACTTTATATCTGAATCTTTATCAGATTTGATGGACTTTTTTCCCTAACCGTCTTACATAATGAAGCATTTTGTAAACGTATAGCTCTCATATTTATTCTCATCACTGATTGCCGCTGAAACATGAAATAGTTACTTGAGGAAGACGATTTATACTCAGTGAGAATGTACTCAGAGAAAAGTTATGTGTTAAAAATTCACGGGGTGTTGTAGGACAGCAGAATAAGGCAGAACCGACAAAAAGCACTCGTCAACTGTCAAAGAAAGGTTGGTCACAACAGAGTGTGAAATACCACTTAGACAAGTTAAGGAAAGTGAAAATGGCATTAAAGTTCCACACAGGACTTGCTTCAAGCTGAACACAACTTGGATACTGTCCAAAATCCATGTGACACTTCAAAAACATTTGGCGTATCTATAGTTGGGTCTGTGCTTTGCTTCATCCGAAACGATCAACAACCGAACTACAAAAGGATTGTCACATGCGACTGGTTTTTGATGAGGTGGTTGGAATGCATGGGACTTTTCGATTTAACATGGCACTTCTTAGACCAGGAGCTGAGTAGGATTGAGCATGCAAAAATAGTGGGCAGTTTTCTCTTTAGATTTATTCAGTAGGTACTGAACGGAAAAAAACAGCTTGTATAAAAAAATTGTATGAATAAAATTTGTAGAAAAATTAAAACTGAACATTTTTAGTCTTATTGCATTCACATACGATGAGCGTATGCGGAGATATAAGTTAATTGTAAGGCTCTCCTTAAATTTACCCCTAGCGCTTAGGCACTACTCTTCATATTTAAATTTTCTTCAAAAAACTGCTGTTGTATAAAAAAAGTAAGAATAAATTTTTTAGAAAAACGAAGTAATTGAAATGAAGTTTCGAACTTTACGAAGTAATTCAATACTATTTAAGAGGTAAAAGCTGCAGTAAAAGGCTTTATTAAAAATAATCAGTCATACAAAATATCTAGTGAAAATATTAAATAAATTAAATTTTTTACCCCTGATAAGGTCATTTTTTGCTCACCCTGGGATTATGAACTGCCGGAAAGGCAATATTAACGTAGTATTTAAATATTTTTTAATTGATTCCAGCATGGTTTTTAGTCAGTCAATTGGAAATATTATTAAATTACAAAATCAGTGTTGGCCCTGGTTTCACCAAAAGTGTATAAATATGGAGAAAAATGTTAATTAAAACTCACCGAATATTAATTTTAATCAAATCCACTGACCTTTTGTTAAACATTCTTAAACACACATGAGGGCTGTTTTTCCCTCAGTAAACAATATTTTCTAGAGTAAAAGTCTACACAATAAAGTAAAAAATATTCTTCTTCTTATGTAAGGTCTTGGTTGGAATGAAAAAGTTGGTGTCACGAGCGGGATTCGAACCCACGATGTTCGGCTCAATACGCCGCTGCTCCACCACTTGAGATATCTTGATCAAGTGGTAAGAGCAGCAGCGTATTGAGCCGAAGGTCGTGGGTTCGAATCCCGCTCGTGACACTAACTTTTTCATTTCAACCCATCTTCACATAAAAATAATAATTAATTAAAAGAAATAATTTGGTCAATAGACCACTAAACATAATGGGGGTAAAAATATTCTTGTATTTAGATTTATGATAGTCATTAAACTAATTTTTGATTTATAAACAACAAACAGGACTTACCGTGAAAATTGTGTTGCTGGGAGTTCGGCAGTAAAGGAGGTAACTGGAACTGAGGAGGGTGATTGGGTGTCACCTGAATCGGGTGAATCGGCTGGATACAAACCAACGGCGTGCTCTCGTACACTGAAACAAAAAAACAGATGGTCATCAAGAAAAGCGACATAACAATAAACACAAAAACAAACATCATACTAGATAAAAATTATTATTTAGAGATCATGAGATACGGTCTGGTGTGATGTAGGTTTAAAAAAACCTTCTTTATCTAAAAAAAAATAATTAACAATTAAAATTAATCACAGATTGGTATCAAAAACCAAGAAAGACAGATCTCTACCTCTACTTTACATCACACCATCCCCTTCATACAACAGTGAACACGGCCAAAGAGCTACATCACAGAATTATTACCCTGAGCCATGAATCTTTTCACCGCAAGAACATAAAGACATACAAACGTATCCTACATAACAATACTACCCTAAACTCATATTCAACAACTACAGCTCAACACTTACATCATCCACTATCACTAATATCACTACATCAATTCGATCAAACACAGACAAACCAACATACATATCGATTCCATTCACGGCCTATATCACACAAATAAAACACATTTCTTTCTTCTGATATCTTAAAAAAAGCCTTCAAAAACTATTCGCATTTTTCCAAAATTAACCTGTAACGAATAAGTCTGATGTAATTTACAAAATCAGTTGTATCCCATTAAGATGGTAAGAGGGTAAAACAGCACATCTATGATTGCAAAAAATCAAATAAAATCCTACACCATTGGGTACCCATCATTTTGAACACCAACACAATTTCGATTTGATCAATCCAAAAATATTAAACAAAGAACAAAACAAACATTAACGTAACTTTTTAGAAATGGTTTACATTAACAGGGATACACACAGCATCAATTACAGAACAGACACATGTAAACTCAGCCGAAGCTACGCTAATATCATAAATTAAATTTAATATGAATAACAAACATATAACATACAAAACATATAATAAAACATATAAAACAATCGTTACACTTCACACATAGAACAATTTTACTAAATCCCCAACAATTTGTCTATCGTTTCCTTAATAATCCCGCCTATAATAATCTTCAATGGCTGACTAGGCCCGAACTTCAAACCATTACTTTTTTCCATTGTCCCTTTCACGACAAAGAAACCGACTACTCAAAGTAATATGAATTTCTATCCCTATTTCCTTCCCCATTCTTTCAAAATCAAACATATATAAACAAAAAACATGAATACATTACTAACACTCTCAACACGACGATCTCTTTAGATGTAAGAGTGGTCCTCGAGACCAAATCTTGAGAGATTATGTAAATAAAGCGATGTCAATCAATCACGACACCTAACAGTGACACATCTACACGGAAAATACACACTTTGAGTGAGTACAAATAGTTTGACTAAACCTAAAATTTCTACATTGTGTACATCATTACATAAATTCATATTCACATCTTACATGTATTTGTATAATTTAAACAATGTTTATAAATCCCAGGCACTGAAGATGTTCTCGATAAAGGTGGAAACGTGGAACGATAAAGAATATGTTTTTCTAAACCTGCATCACACCAGACCCGCATCTCACGATCTCTAAATAACCATTACATAACTCACTAAATACTACACACTTGATAAAAATATTGAAATTTTACAAATTAAAAAATTCTTGTAAACTTCCTGAAATCCTGGTTTTCACTTTAAATATCAAGAAATTCTAATATTATGACCCCATGCTATTTTACATAGGGATGTTTTGTACATCGTCAGGCTATAAAAATAAAAACATAAATAAACTATTAAATTTAGTTTGATTGTATTGACGTGGGATGGTTTTCCTCACCAGATTTTTTAAAATTTAAAATTGCGAATGTTTTTAGATTAAAACAAAAATATAGTTGTTTTTATATAATTCCAGCCATCTTTTTTTACAAAATTAACCAAAATCAGCCCAAATTGGACACTTGACCAAGAAATAATGTTGCAGAGAGGAAATAGATCAGAGGAAGGCATTTTACGTATCTATGCGCCTCCAATGAGTTTTGCAATCCATTCACACAAAGATTAAAATTTTCATTTCTGCTTTCACAATTTTTTGATAACTCTGTCAAAAAGGCCATTCAAAGGTTCAAAAAACAAAAAAACTAGCATCCTGACAGTTAAATTAAAAGGAGGCCTTGAGATGGTGGACAATGAAGCTGAACTATATTCAAATGAAATAACAAGAATTTTTCATCAGTTATTTTTTTTGCCAGTTTTTCTTTTCCTCAGTGTTGTTCTTGCATTGGATTTTGATTTGATCCCCACTTCCAGACATTGATTAAATTCTTGACCTCAAGTATAATTTTTTTTATATGTTTTCAATGGAAAATTATGTAATAGAAGAACACACATGTCACCTATATATTATTTAATCACAGAAATATAAATGTAAATAAATAGAGCAACTTTTTCACCAAGATTTATGGAAATAAAAGTACAAAATAAGCACGTTTACTCCAGTATTCCCGTTCATGTCAATGGATAAAATCGGAACCAAACATCCATATTTTTTAGTTCTAATATCAATTCGAAGAAAAGTCAAGAAATTGATTATAAATCAGGCAAACTGGAGTCAATTTGGTCCAAATGGACTTGAGAATGAGACGGAACGGAATGGAGCGGGGCTAGCTACATCTAGCGGAAGTGCGACGAATCGGCAGCTTGCCTGCAACGAAGACAGATGGCTTCGCGATGCGAAGCGACGCGGACCCAACTTTTTCTCAGACTAATAGAACCTGATGATTAAATTTATTTTGCAATCTTAAATGTCAACTTGGCCTGTATTGATTTGCTACACTTACTACTTATTAGTAATGATGTCGATGTTTCCATTCAATTATTTTGGGAGTAAAATAAAATTATGCCATGCAGAACGCATCTTACAAGCAAAGGGACGGCCTTAACCCTCTTCGTTCTTGCTTGTCCGTAGATGGTAAATGATTTCTTTGACTATCAGTTGCTAAAACATTAGCATAGATTTCAACATTACCGTTTCTTTGAAACGAACAGCCCACAAAATTCTGCTTGACTGAAAGCGTCTTACAAGCGGACATCCATGATCCTCTCTATTCTTGCTTGCCGGTATAATGTTCGTCTTTGATTGTGAGCTGCTACACTGGTTAGCATTGATGTATATTAAAGCTTCTTTGAAATAAACTCGCAAATCCAACATAATAGCTTGAAAACGTCTACAAGGGGAGGTCCTTCATCATTTTTATTGTTGTTTGACGATAGAAAAATTGTGATGTCGTGAGACTTACTTACACCCTTTTCAGTTGATAAAATATAAGCATTGATGTTTCTACTAAATGGATTTGAAAGATAAACATGATTCTATTTGTTAAAAGGGTTTTACAAGGGTACAACCTTAGACCTTCCTTTCTCGCTTCGATATGCTAAACCGGTTAATATTGATGAAGCTTTGAAATGAATTTGCAACTCCAACATAATTCCGCCTGATAGAAAACTTCTTACGAGGGGACAGACTTCGATCATTTTTATTCTTTTTGTCCATAGAAAATTATTGATGCTTTTAGACCCTCTTCATTCTAGTTTACAAGATTAGTGACGTTTTTGACTGTCAGACGTTAAACTAATATTATCTTCAATGCACTAGTTTCGTGGTCCGCTTGACCAATTAATATATTCCAATTAATTAAGGTTTTCCGTTGAGATAAAAAAGTCAATGGCAGGAGCGGGATTCGAACCCACGATCTTCGGCTTGATACGCCGCTGCTTTACCACTTGAGCTATCATGACCTCGATCCACTCCGACATCAACCTCCCACCTCAACCACACCTTTTGAAAAATGGCAAAAAGGAGGGAAAATTCAAAAGGTGTGGCTGAGGTGGGAGGTTTAGCGGATCCACAGTTTAGCGAATGTCAATGTAGATGCTTCTATTAAATAACTTGAAAAATGACCAATATTGTATTTTGTAAATAGCGTCTTACAAGGGGAGAGTCATAGCCCCTCTTCATTCTTGCTTGTCTTTGACTGTCAGTTGCTAGTCTAATTATCATTGATGCCAATGTCGATGTTTCTCATAAATAATTTGAGAATAGCCGACAATTTTGTTTGAAAAAAAGCGTCTTACAAGGGGAGAGTCTTAGACCCTCTTCCTTCTTGCTTGTCTGTCCAAGAGTAATGACGTCTTTGACTGTCAGTTGTTAAACTAATTAGCATTGATGTCTATGTTAATGCTACTTTTAAAATAACTCGAAACTGTAACAAAATTCTGCCTGACTGAAAACGTCCTACTTGGGCACAGTCTAAGGCCATTTTAATTATTGCTTGCCAGTAATTAAATTAACCTAAGATTAATGAGGTCATTGACTGTGACATGCTAAACTGGTTTTCATTGATGTCAATATTGTCGTTTCTTTGAAATGAACTTGAAATTCTAACCGAACTCTGTTCAACATCAATTTGCCTATTCTCGTGGGATTTGTGGATGGTTTGTCAGACGCGTTTCAGTATTCAGCTGTGGGTAGTCCTGGCTCATGGATTCAAGGGAAAGTCCCAACACAAACTAAACACGTGTCTGACAGACTAACATAATCCCTATCTACCAATTTACTGGTCAACATGCATTCATCTCACAGAAATCTCAGCATTCTGCCTGATAGCGCCCTTCAGGGGGGCAGTCTTAGACCACTATTCATTTTTGTTTTGCCGTAAAAGATTAACGATATATTTGACTTTAAAATGATAAACTCCTTATATATTATTAATATCTATGTTGTTCTTTTAAATTAACTTGAGAGTTTAACAAATTCTAACTGAAAACGTCTTAACAAGGAAAAGCCTTGGTTTATCTTTACGTCTAAACAATTGTACGAATAGTTAGGGATGGACCACTTAACGTCGAAATAAGAAAAGAAAAATATCAAAATGTTAAAATTTTTAATTTAATTAAGCTTATCTTAAGTTAAATCGGATTATTAAATAAACAGGCACTCTACTACGCTTAAAGAGTCATAAAGCTGTATTTTAAAAAAATTGGGCAAAAAGCTCGGCTCCAGTAACACGAATGAATTTAAGCCGTTGACTTAATGAGCGCGATGAAATTATTTATGTCTTTTCTGTCCGTTAAACTGGAAATTTTGAATTGTTTTTGTAAAGGGGATTGGGTTTCGTTTAATTACGGGCCAGAATTAAACTGCTTAATATGTGGTCTGCTACGAGGGTTCTTGTTAAAATCAACGTAAAACCATAAGAGGAATTCTCGATGTAATGGGTTAAGGGAATTTCGTGGTAATATAACATTTTAACATGGGAAATAACGTAACGGGGAGGTGGAGTAACTAAAATCTCGCCGAAATCTTTAAACGTTTGTTTTTACATTGAATTGGAGAACGTGTGCATTGCTGGGAAAGGAATTAGTCTGTAATTGTGACTGATGACTGATTAATTAGGGTTAATTGGAATTTCGATTTTGAATTATAGCAACTTTGGCCTCATTTTTGAACAATTGCAAAGTTTTTATGTTTGGAAAGGGGCACAAATTTTACATTTTACTACCACCGAACTCGGAAACAATTTCTGGTTTTTTGAGGGGGATAAGTTTTAATTTAACGTTTTTCCAATTACTATTCTACCTTTATACAATTACAAATTACACACAGGACAGTTTAATTCAAAACACGTTTCTTGATGTGACCAAAGGGTTTATCAGCATACTAACAATATTCCTACCGATAGATCTAAGTGAATCTTTCCTAACTTGTGTTGACTTAGTTTATACGTGAAGTATAAATAAAGTCAAATGCATACAATAAACTTGATTATACTGATTTGGCCTTAGTCGCCCTGCTCGCACGCCTGGGATATATTGGGTTGTCCGGAAAATAATGCAGGATTTTGGTATTAAACAAAAAAAAAGAAACTAGTTACTTTAAAGCAATGTTCTTTAATCAAAATAATTTCCCATACTCTCAATACATTTCTCCCAACGTGTTGGTAACTTATTAATTCCGTCTGAGTAGAATTCAGAATTTTTAGAATTGATAAAGTCAATAAATGCATTTTCCAGTTCCGTTTGATTTTTGAATATTATGTGTTGTAAGTAGTGGTCCAGGTGTCTAAAAAAATGGTAGTCAGTAGGCGAGAGGTCCGGAGAGTAGGGTGGGTGAGGCAAAGTTTCATAGCCAAGCTCCAATAATTTTTGTGACGTTACACGTGACACATGTGGTCGAGCGTTGTCATGCAACAAAATGGGCCCTTTCCGATTGACCAAAGAGGGCTTCATTACTGCCAATTTCTGATGCATGGTATTAATTTGGTTACAGTATGATTCAGCATTGATGGTTTCGCCAGGATTTAAGAAGCTGTAGTGTATTAAACCAAATGAAGCCCACCATACCGTAACCATTACCTTTTTTTGATGAGTTGGGGGCTTTGGAAAATGTATTGGAGCTTCTCCTTTGTCGAGCCACTGTCCAGAACGTCTAGTGTTATCGTAGAGAATCCACTTTTCGTCACATGTAACAATTCTGGCCAGAAATGGGTCATTTTTGTTTCGACAAAGAAGTGATGCACAAACATCAAAGCGCTGATTTTTTTGGCGATCGTTTAATGAGTGTGGAACCCAATTTTCGAGTTTTTTCACTTTTCCAATCGCCTTGAGGTGGTCAGCGACGGTCGTTTTACTGACTTTGAGTTGCTCTGCAAGTTCTCGAACAGTTGTTTTGGGGTTTTCTTCCACCACTGATCGCAGAACATCATCATTAAGAGAGGAAGGCCTTCCACGACCTTCTTCATCTTCAAGGCTGAAATCTCCCTCCCGAAATTTTTTAAACCACCTTTGCACAGTGCACTCATTAACACAACCCTCGCCCCAGACTTGGTTAATGTTTCTAGCCGTTTGGGCTCCGCTTCGGCCGAGTTTAAACTCGTAAAAGAAAATCGTACGAAATTCTCGCTTTGACATTATAAGGATGACTGAATTATTTCCAAGTAGCGGAATGCTACAGAGGTAAACAAACAATATCATTTGGAAGAGGATTAATAAGTGTTGACATTCATACAAATGAGTAATCCTGTAAACGTAAACAGAATATTTTATATAGATTTTTTTTAATGAAAACTTAAAATCCTGCATTATTTTCCGGACAACCCGATATTAAAACCAGGGTAACTCTGGAATAATTTGCATCGTTAAACAAATCGGGAACCTTTGATTTATCATTATCTTTAGGCGTTATTGGTTATTTGTCAAATACATTTATTGAATTTTAGTATTGGTAAAATTGGATATATTCAAAATTTGGACTTTTACATTTACACAAATTCTGTCCTTAAAGTTGGAAAAGTTGCAAAGTTGGAACCAATTTGATGGGTTATTGCAAAAAATTGCATTTTTTCTTCGGTAGATGTGGGCTATTCCTTTTCTTTTTCAAAGGACATCAGCTTAAGATATAGACAGCAAAATGTATTGTAATTTTTTCTTAATAAGAAAAATAACTTAATAAGTGTGGCATATAAACGTAAATATTAGAGAGCCGGTAGTTTAATTTTCACTGCCAATGGTTATAATTGGATGTTGTAGTATTTACTTGCAAATAAGTGTGAAAGAAATCGTGTTAATTGCAAAAATTTTCAACAATATCAACAATTTGTTTACGAACTAACAAATTGACTTTATAATATAAAGAAAGACTTACGCCTCGTCTGAGGAAGAGCACCTGGAAGAGGAGATGTTGGGCTGTCCAAGAGAAGGATGCCCTTTTGGACGAGTTCATCACGGGGGGCACGCACTGAGATCTTCCTTTCGAGTGCTAGACAAAAAGTGAATTTTACTTTTTTTTGTAACAACAGGGATTATTTCAATTTTAGAAGTTTATTAGAAAAGTGATGATTCCAAAAAAACAGGATAACAGTGGCTATGATAAACAAAAACGAATACTGTTTATATTAGTTTGTCAAGTCTGTTCAGCTAAATTCTATACTAACTTAGCGGGGTTTTTTTAAATATTTGTTTTTCGATATAAGCGTTGAAATGGCCAGATAGATAGATATTTTTGTCTAAGAACTAATCACCATAACAAAAAGGTCAAACAATTTGAAAATTACCTCATCTGGAAAAGATTGGCACGATGAGCGCGCAAATGTTTGGCAAAATTAAATTCACCAATTACATATTTAAGTTTCCCTTCTAAATCTTCCTTTAACGTAAAAACTACCAACGGAACCAAACTGAGTTTATCAGACAGAAACTTTTGAGACTTTTTCTTGAGGTCTGCGGGTCAATGAACCTGTAGTTCGGTCGTTACCTATCATCCTGGTCCGCATATCCTTGCTGTGTATTGCGAAATTGTGGGCACGAAACCGCCATCGAAGATAGCGAAATGTCGAAACGTCGAAATATGCGGAATGATCGGAAGCAATATGAGTACAAATACGTAGCATATTGTACGTGCACAACATCTTCAAGTAACTACAAAACAACAATATATATGCGCACTAAAAGACTGCTGGGAATAAACAACCCTTCTGACAAGTATAATTTGAAAAATTGTAGGTCGAATACTTCCTTGAAATTTTGGTAAAGTATATTGCTCGTTGATGACAGTCGTTTGAAGTCATCAACAACATGCTGACAAACCTGAACGCCTTACACAAAAACATCTACTGCAGAATCCGAACACAATCAATATAAACTTCCTAGACCTTACAAAAACTGATAACAAGCTAGGATTCGACGTAAACAGAAAACCATCGACAACAGGCGTGATAACAGCTGACTCAAATCACCCATGAGGCACAAAACGGCAGTGATTGCCAACAAAGTGTCGTACAGACGGAAAAGAGTACCAAGAACCACAATAAAAAAGCAACACACAACGGCTACAACATAGACATAATCAACAAAGCAGTAAACAACAAGCATACACAAATTCAAGAAGACATCTCAAAAATATACATAAAATTCTTCATTCAAAAAATTGGGAAAGTGATGTACAAATAAACCAAGAAAAGCAACCAATAAAATTAGAGATATTGTGAGAGAATATCACAAGACTATACACAGTAGACTCAAATGGCAATTATACAAAAGCATACGAATGGGTAGGGGAAAAAGACAGGAAGAAAATTATGGACAGATTCAAAGAGCATAATTTTTTGGGAAAATCAGGAAATGAAACTAAACAACTCACCTCACACCTCAAATAACAACAACAATCAGGCAAATCTTCAAATTACTTCTTGAAAAAGGAATAGGACGAAAAATGAAACTTGAAAATCAAAAGTAAAAAACAAACAACTCTGAAAGACCAACACACATAGGAAATGCAGTCCAAAATACCTACACAGCTACACATTTATTGCTGATTAATTTCTACGTAAAATTTTAAATTGTCGTTGGTTTATGTAGTAGGTACCTCACCCTGGTTATTACCCTGCTCCAGAACTGAAGATAACATGCCAAAATACCTCTGATAGAGCACGCATATAGGAAAAGACCAAAACTCACCCCACGCAACGAAAACTCAACTAACAAAAAAGACAACAAATCTGTACTATTGTAAACAGATCAAACACAAACAAAAAGATAAACAAATTTATTCAACAAATCAGTACTGTACCAAAAGCAAACAATAAAATAGGGAAAATCATAAGAGAAAGTTATCTAGACCAAGTGAACAAAACGGCAATTGTGCAAAAACATGAGAATGGGTTGAAAATGCAAAGAAAAGAGAGAGAAAAAACTAAAACAGATACAAGAACATACATTTTTAGGGACCACGTCAGCAAATCAACTACAATACAAAACTCACCTCACGCAACGAACACTCGTCTAACAAAAAGGATACCAAAATCAATAATGTAATTAACACAAAAACAATGATAAATAAAAAATATATTTGAAATGGGCTTCATTCACAAACGTTGGGAAAGAGAAGTACAAACAAACCAATCTATTTAAAAAAATAGACAAAAACAATACAATTGGGGAAAATCGTGAGAGAAAATATCGAAAAGGTTAAACCCAGTACTGAAAAACGGCAATTGTACAAAAACACGCGACTGGGTATGAAAAAAAGACATGAAGAAAACTGCAGACAGATGACAAAGAGCGTACATACATTTTTGGGAACGGCAGTAGATGAAACAACAACTAACCTCACACAACGAACAACAATACAGGCAAATCGTCAAATTACTCCATGACGAACAAATAGGATGAAAAAAGAGACAAGAAAACCAAAACTAAAAAACAACTTTTCATGACAAACTCATAATAGGAACCAGGAGAAACAAAAACACTCACAAGCCCTACACTGAACATGCCAAAAAGCGTTTCTGTCAGTCCAAAATGAATTAAAGAGTCCAAAATCGCACGTCTAATGCGTATAAAATTTAACCTTTAATCCCTTTTTTCATAATAATAATTGAAACTTTAGACCAAAAAGTATTTTGATTCGATTCGACAACCCCGATGTTTCTAGCATATTAAACGCGAAGGCAGATCGAAATGATCGAAACGACCCAGCTACAAATTTATTCTGAGTAAAGTTTTAAATTGTCGTGGGCTTATGTTAAGTACCTCCCCTAGTTATAACTATGACCCAGAACTGAACATGCCAAAATGCCACTGATAGAACGCATATAGGAAATGCTGACCAGAATGATAGAAACGACCAAAACTCACCCAACGCAACGAAAACTCAACTTAAAAATTAAATTTAAAAAAGACAACAAAATATGTAATTAATCTTAATGTGAGGTATTGGTTGCAATGAAAAGCTAGTGCCACGAGCGGGATTCGAACCCACCAGCAGAAGGTCGTGGGTTACATATAGACTAATTAATAGTAAGAAGTTATTTGGTCAATCGGATCAAGAAATATAATGGATAAAATATGTAACACACATGTAATATGTACACGCAGAGCAAACAAAAACACAAAGATAAACAAATGTATTTATCAAATTAGAACTGTACCAAAAGCAACCAATAAATTAGGGAAAATCGTAAGAGAAAGCAAACTTTCTAGACCAAGTAAACAAAATTGCAAGAACACTACTACAAAACGTCCAAAATAGCACGTTCAATGCATGTAAAATTTAACCTTTATTCATTATTTCATTATAATAATTGAAATATTAGACCACATATATTTGGATTCGATTCAACAACCCCTAAGTTTCTAGCATATTAAACGCGAAAGCGATTGTCAATTTAAGCAAAAAAATATTTTTATTCGTTTTAATCTTATCTTCTTTCTTCTTGGTTGTTCGCTTGTTTTAAGATCTTTTTAGATGTTTTTTCAGAAAGTTACAACCTTTTCAAAATATCCTTTTATTATATCGATATCGATTTCGGGAGCAGCAGCCTCCCCTCTTTAGTCTACATAATAAAAATTTACTAAGTTACATATTATCAACAATTTTTTCCATATAATTTTAAATAAAACATAATTTAATGGTTGAAATACTTAAACAGACACCTACCTGGTTTCAATTTTACCTGGTTCACGAGTGGGATTCGAACCCACGACCTTCGGCTGAATACGCCGCTGCTCCACCACTTGAGCTATCGTGACTTCGATCCACTCGGACACCTCCTACTTCCCATCTCAATTTCAAATAATAAGGATAACCAGTATAATGGTATAACACATAAGAACGTTCGAGTTTATGCGGTAATAAAATTGAAACCAGGTAAGTGTCTGTTTAAGCATTGTAACCATTAAACTATGTTTTATTTAAATTATATGGAAAAAATTATGGGTAATATGTAACTTTGTAAATTTTTATTATGAAGACTGAAGAGGGGAGAGGCTGGTGCCCCCGAAATCGATAACGATATTTTTATTCGTTTTCAACCTACATAATAATAAAAGTTGAGTTGACCCACTTAGTCCTAGTCCTCGAGAATCGTCAATCGTCTTACGAGAAGGCGTACTGTTTGTAAGGACATGTACAACAGGATCAAGGGTGTTAGGGAAGCGATGTTGAACGGACGAATATGCCAGTGGAATAAAGGCTAGTGGTAGGCTGGGATTTTGAGCTTTGATTAATTCAACATTGGCAAGCACAACTTACATCTAGACGCGGCTTCGAACTTTTCAGACTTCTTCTTTCGTTTCCACTTCCATGGTTTAAAGAGGCGACCGAAGGCTGAGAACTTGCTCTTCCTCTCGATCGGTGGGGTGCCAGAACCGAGACTGTTGGTCCTAAGGGCGGCTCCATTTGCCTTTTTACCTGAAACAGAGAATTAGTAAGTGTTTAAACTTACAGAATCGACTTGAAGATTAAATAAAACATTTTATACAATCATAATACAAATGGAATAATTACAAGACAAAAGTTCCGACTGGAAGTTGAGCATGAAAGTTAGACAAGGTTTCTTTTAAAAAACCTATTTGCGAATGTAAATACCAATAAGGATGAAGTTTTCCTTTTGAATGATCCAGCATCCGTAGAGGAAGCGAACATTTACAGCAGACCGTGACACTTTCCACTCGGGTTTTTTGTTATACCGTCTTCCGAAAAAAACCACGTGCCCATTTTGGTGAAACCTTAATTTGGTCTTTAAGCGTTCGAATTGGATAAATCGGTTACCTCCGTATCAACAATAACACTTCAAAAGATTTCATTTTTGCATGGTACAAAATAATATTTTCTCAGAAGAAAATGTGCCAAGAGATCTCAAAGTAGAGAATCAAGTTATATTTTTCCACTGAAACTCCCACTTTTATTTTCCACAGGGTTTTCATTTCACCATATCTATTCTAGGGAGTGCAATTTTGTAAATGTAACGAAATCTTTTCACTCGCATCTTCATTCTTACAATTGGACGTATAACATTTTTATCTCGCAAGTCCATCAAGTCCCTCTTAGCAATCCCAATCTACAAAGTTTACTTCCCCGGTTTTAATAACAATTTCGTGTATTTTTGGTTTAAACTACTGTTTAATAAAGCATTCTACGATAATGTTCCTCGATTGGGAAATTTTTAATTTTATAACCAAATGGATTTTTCATTTTTTAAAGGCTAACAAAATTAATAACAGTGTCGAATACTTCTGAATTAATGAAAGTTCAAAATCCCAGCATACCACTCGCCTTTATTCCACTGGCATATTCGTCAATACAAGTTTTTTTAGGAGACGAGCTAAGCAATTTTTTTCTAAGTCCGTCAAATTCCTCGCGCCATATTATTCGCTACTGTTGTGACTCGTGTTGTGACTGATTTAGAGAATGTAATGAAACAGGTTAAGAACGGAACATGAAGGGAAATACACGAGTCTTTTTTTTCTTATGAGCATGATCCAATAAAATTCATCATCACTTCTGGCAAAGAGATTTGCTTATTCGAATTGCTTATTAATATCAGGGATAATTTTAAGACATTACATATTATAGCATTGCATTTACACATAAATGAGTTAGGATGAAGAATTCGTAAGGAAAAAAGAAAAAAAAAAAACAAACTGGCATCCTTTAAAAAGAAATCGGGCATCAGGGCGAAAGTGTAAACTAAAGCCACGCCTTGGAGGAGGTAGACAATTCTCGTTTTCACTTCGGCATCTGTAATTAATTTGTTGCTATAAAAAAACAAAAACAAAGAAAAACTAGTAGCTCTGTTTAACGAGATTGGGCTTGAAGTACCTCGGGCATAGTTCTGTGCTTAATTTATGTGTAAGGATCGATAAAATCAGAACATTCTGCTGAAAATGAAATTGCACAATACAAGGCATAACCAGCCCGCAAGCACAAGACAATGAAAGAACTTTGCGAGTTGATAAGTAAATGAAGGTCTATCAAAGTCACAACTCGGCACTTCGGATTTCTTCAGACCAGCTTGTAAGAATCTTATATTTTCAGCAGTATAGAAAACAAGAGCATGTAAAATTGGTCTGGTGTTGTCGAATATATCTACTAAAAAACTTTTAGATGGTTCACCCCTCGATCTGGGCATAAAATGACTACTGTAGCACTAGCACGTGGAACTCGAGTACAGGGAGACCTTGACATTCTTTACATACATAAGTAAAGGAAATTTCAACCATGCAGTTGATAAGCTGGACAACTCACATGCACTATAAATACTGTGCCGTAAATCACTTACGCTATATCGATAAAAAATCAATCTTGATTTTTGTTTCAGTTTTGATAACTGTGACCTAGCCCAGATCTGGGGAAATAACAGGGTTCCGGGGTCCTTGAGGGTTCAAGGAGCCTCGTCCGGCGTCGTCTATAGAAAAGTAATTACCTGGATATATAAAATAGGTATTCAATAGCGGAAGCCGTTGAGTTATTTTTGAAAAACCGGCTTGGTTATATAATTCATAATGCGCTTCACTTTACGAAGAGAAACAAATAAACAAAGACGTCTACTACACCCAGTTTCTCGTAAAAGAATTTCTACGCCGTGTACGTATTGCGGGAATATAAAATTCCATGAAAACAACATTCGTTATGACTTTGGGCCCTATTTTGTACAGTGTAATTAACAAAACCAATATTGTGAGATTTCTTCTTGAGGCCGGAGAGGTGAACTACATAAAGACAAGCCAACATAGCAAGTATGTAGATGTAGATGTATTAGTGGGTGTCTAATATACTGCGCCCTTTAAGAGCTATTATATCCCCCGTTCTGTGCCTATAGCACACCGGTGAGTCCTATTTCATCAAGGCACTTGATCAGTAGACCGGTTTCAGTGGTTGAATTTCCTCTACAGTCACATTGTACATCCCAAAACAATCCTGCGGGCATGTGTGGCACCACAGTTTGCTAATGGGCGTGTTGGTATTTCCTCTGCCTCTTGGCACAATCTGCATGAGCCGTCTTGGATTATACCTATCTTATTTAAATGTTCATTTAGTTTGCAGTGTCCTGTCAAGAATCCTGTTTGTCACATTCCATCACTTCTTTCCTTCCGAAATTTGTTAGGAGGTTCTTGGATTGTATGTGTCCAATGAGTGAATTCCATTGTTCCCTCATTTTCTTTTTATTCTTCTGTGCTTTGATCGCTGCTTGGCTATCTGTCATGATAGCTATGCTCTTATTTTTGTACCCTTTAGTGAATTGAGTACATCTCTCGACTGCGTGAGCCTCAGCTTGGAAAATACTGGTGTATTTTCTCATGGGTTCTGAGTATTTGGTTGCAGGGCCGAATACTCCTACTCCTGCCCTTCTTGTTTTCTAGATCCATCTGTGTACCAAAAGATGGTGCCGTTCTTAAACCAGGTGTACGTAGCAAATATAAGCAGAGCAAAATTAACAACGACCAAACGACAAAAAAAAAAAAAAGAGAAAGATTTTCAAGTATAATATTGTTCTTAATAGTAATAATTAATGCGTATTAACAATGACCAGCCCAAAAGACCGCAGGTTCAAAAACTGTCACATCTGAAGCAGAGTTGAGAAAATAATTCAACTCCTATTACTTCGAACGAAATAAAACATGTAACATCTAACCTTGGAAATTACGCCATGCATAATGGAAAACGTTTATAATTATCAGGTAGTGAAGGTTTTAGACATGAGAAGATTATGAGCTTTTCTTCTTTTCTTTTTCTTAACTTTTCTTAACGAAGAATATATTCAGACCCGTGTAATAATTAACAAAATGTGCGCAGTTCAGTGCGAAAAGTTTCGTCTTAACGTTTCATGAGTACCAGTGTATTTTATGATTGTATAGTCACCGAATACTTGCAAGGTCTGGAATGACCTAGCTGTCGACTTGGTTGGAAGCAATTTTCGCTGGTTGGACTGACAAGTCAGAAGTATCACCCTTTATGTTATTTGAAATGGTAGACATGGGGTCATTCTGTTCTAAGTGACCACTGTCTAGTTCAACTAGCTGACCAACACACCATCAACTTTAACTGTACAAACAAATGACAGTTTTATCAAATGTACGAATTGAAAGAACTGTAAGTACGATATAAATATTTTACTGCCTCAATCAAGCTTCATTGCATGCCGAAAAAGATACACGACGGTTTGAAAATTCTCATTTGATTAATATTTGGTATACATACGTTTCAGCCCAGCTCGGGAAATCGTTAAAGCATTAAAGTAGAAGGAGAGCTTGACAAGTGCACCATACCAAAATAGGTTTGAAAAATTTAATGGAGGAAATATCCTGGACAGGAAGTAGGGCTAAGGCCGATAATCAATGGATGAGGTTTTGCAGTAAACTGTTGAATCAATCCCATCATCTGGAGTATTTTACACGAGTGTCGAAAGATCTTAGCACCATGAGACACATGGGTAAGGTGAAAAATAGCAGTAGACTGATCCTGCAATGGATTGGCACCCCAGCAATCCACAAAGCGGGTAGAAGCTAGAAGCCGTCAAAAATCTGGTGGGTTTACAGCAAAATTTTAGCACTTTCGAAAAAATGGCGGCCCTAAGTCTTTTACAGTTCTTCAAAATCAAATCCATTAGTTTTTTGGATCTGCGGATTCATCGTGAGTTTGTTACCGATGGATGTTGTATGAACTTTGAACTAAACTGCGAACAGTTAGACAAAATTATCGCGAAACCGTAAATTTTACCAATCTTTGGATAAATTTTCTTTCAAAGCCACCCGCCGGTCCAAGGTAAAGTTAAAGATCGTTATGGAACGAACTCCTGCCCCTCCCAACCTATATTCCAATCCTTGCTCCTTAAGATTATCTCTTATTTCGATCGGTAGGCGCCTTTTTTCACGGGAAAAATTAACTACTTTTCAGAAGTCAAAATTGCGGTGCTAGAGTCGAAAGAGGTACCAGAGGGGGATCGAGCAACTTGCTGAACTACAATTTATGCAGCTATATTTTGAATATTCAAATTATTTTAAATCAAATAAACAAAAACATTGCTATTTTGATTGAAAGAAATAATGAATTTGTTATATATATTTAAGCTTAATCATATAACGTATTCGACGTGTCGATGTAGTAGAGAAGTAACGTGGCAAATTTGCGTGCTTGGTTGTTTGTTTTTCACCGAGGACCGATCGCCCCATTGTTCGGAACCTAGATGCGTAATACTGAAGGGAAAACGTCTAACGAAGCGCGTTTACCGCTGTTATGATAGTGATCTCATCCTTGAGAGACGCCTTTCGGGATGGCTCAGGTAAAATACCAGAGCCAAACTCATAGTAGGAGGGGTGAATAAAACGCTCTAATCTTTAGGTCTTCCCGGGTCTAATTTCATAAAGTGTTATTCGCCGTCAACCCTCTGCCAAAAGTTCGGATTTTTTTCA